CTGGGACAGGGAGGCACACTGTGAATATTTGTTGTCGAGTGACCAAGAGTGGGTCTGGTATGAGGCATGAGGGAATGGTGGGGACGATGTTAAGGTATATACCCTGTCTTTGACATTCAAATTATTGTTCTTTAAAAGAGTACTTCAAATATCTTGTGGTCTAAGGGCTACTGATTTATATCTCTACATCCACATCATTTTTTGTGTGTTTTAGCCTTACTTAAAGACCAAAAAACAAGGGAAATAAATTTGGTAGCATGGGAAGTCTCAAATCGGCCCGGTTGAGCCTGATTTTAATATCCCATCTTTGCTCATAAATACAGTTCTGTTTGTCTTCCCCACTTTGGCTCAGGCAAACCCTGTCACTTTGGAAATAGTGTGTATGGATGGTACGATATAGAATGAAGGACCCTAGCAACAGGCTGTGTTCCAAACCTATATACAGTGGACAGACTGATGAGCTAATGATTCTCCCTGCCTCAACTTCCTCGAAGAAAGCCCCCACCAACCAGTCTGTGCGGTTATAGTGGAACCAGGGGAACAGCTGGCCTGGTTTTAGACGTGTCATGGAACTGGGTTTCAGTTTCCTAAAATGGGGATTCTACTCCCCTAGTTGTCTTTACACAAGGCTGTTTGTGGGGACTCATGAGATAATGTCACGTGAAAGGGTTTTGTAAATTGCAATGTGCTTAATGAATATGAAAAGTTAATACCATCAATTTGGGGGTGAGACTGGAGGGATAGTCCTCATACTGGTTCATTACATCTCTTAAATTGCTTGAACTACTGGCATGCTTTTCTCTATAGTTGAATAAAAGTCCTCTACTTATGGGGTCAACCTTGATTTTTCCCTAATATTGTTTCTTACTTGAGTTAATGAGTCCAAAGCTCACGTTTGCGTGTGACCTCTGTCTGACCTTTACTCAGTGCTCACCCTCAGCTCTGCCCCATCCTTAAAATGGATGTAGGGTGATGAGCAGGGTGGGTGGTGTGGACACCCCATAGGCGGCTCTCTGGCTCTGCTTCCTGCAAAACCCCCAGAGTGGGGTCCCCTTCTCAGTCATCTGCTATTTGCATTTCTGTTGTTCTTGTATCTGCCTCAAGGATATTTGGTTGCAGATTTCCTACATTATATTTTAAGTACATGTGTATCTTGATTTCATCCTGGAGCCTAAGGGAATGCACCTAGATTAGTCATAAGCAGGTAAAGTGGAGGCCAGAACTTTCTGCCAGAACCAGCACTGCTCCCTACTCCGGTGGAGGCAGATGCTTAGAGTTATGTTTCCAATAAGAAGCACAGATTTGCGCAGCCTGATGATCAAAGTCAAGCTCCTAAGCCTGGAATTCGAGGCTCTCCCAATCTGGCAATACCCTTGTTGCTTTACCCACCCCCACCATTCCTTATTAACACCCCGGGTTTCAGGCACCCTTTCACATACATGTCCCACATTTTCTCACATCAAACTTTATACATACAGCTTCTTCTGCCTGGATTTTTTTTTTTCCTGGAAGATCTGCCCACTACAATCATGAGCATTTTGTAGGAGAAATGCTTATACGCCCCTCATGTTTCCATAGAGCAGGAGGGGAAAGGTGGAGAGTTTCACCACCATCTCTAGGAAACAAAAAGATAGAGGAACATTGCCAGGCCGCCTTTCCATCTTTCACTCTTTCTTCCTAAAGGAAGAGGAGTAACTGGAACCAGGAAATCAGCCCGCTGGGCTCAGCCCCGCCCTCCCTCCCTCAGTCTTTGCAGGGCTACATCTGCCTGCGGATCAGTGGCTTCTTGTCTGGCTTCTACGAGCTCCCTCTGGGCAGGGCGTAGGGCTCCCTTCCAGAAGCAGTCAAGAGGCCCTGCTCTCTGTGCATGTTCCTCTACTGTCACAGGATGGCCCTGTGGTAGGCAGGTAAATGCATCTGCTCTGCAGACCCAGCCCTGCCCTCACAGGGGTCTCCCAAGCTGTAGACTGCAGTGGCAGGGGGAGGGCACCATGCTCTGTCACCCCGAGGTAGCGGCAGGGATGCTGATGGTTTTAGCTCCTTCATTCTCATTCCCCCTCTCTTGCCTAATTGGTTCTGAATCCTGAGGGGAAAGAGAGAAGTCATTAATTATATCCTCAAACCTCAATGCCCAAATATCATGTCTTCCAAGGAGCCTTCCCTGGCTTCCATCACTAGCGGTCCACATCCCCTCCCCTTTCCTCTTGGCTTGTCTCCTGTCGAATTTCAGTTGTACTTCACTTGTTCATCCTTCTCTTCAACGCATATTCACAGGTCTTGGCAGAGCTGGGACTCTCCTGAATTTAGATGTGATGAAAAGTCACATGTCAAATTATGATTTCCTCTGAAAATCCAATTCTTGACATTCGTGTGGCATAATGACAACAAAATTGGACAGAGGGCCTGGAGTTCGGTCTCAGATTGGGGCTTATAAGACACTGAGAGCCTGTTGGGTGCAAGCTAGGTGCTTTTTGAGATATAATCTTGATATAGTTGAGTAACATTATACCCTTTTTTATAATGAAGATAACTGGAGCTCAAAGGTAAAAACAAACAAATAAACAACAATAAAGAGACTTTGCTCTGCTTAGGGTCACGTCCTTAATAGTTAGTGGAGCCAGGGCTCAGACCCAAGGGGTCTTGACATTGAATGCTGTGTCCCTTGGGCCTCATCATACGTACTCTCTCTGTGCCCTCTGGCAGTCCTTCTCTAGTAACAAGGGTAGAGCTGTAAAACATAGAGATATGTTGTATAGGTGACATAGACAATAAATGATAAAGGCCAAAACGAATGATCCAGGAGACGAATGTTGCAAGACTAACCCCTGTGGCCTTGTACACTCATGGCAGGCCTGAGGGAAAGATCAGGGTTGAGTTGAGCCCAGGAAGGCTTCTTGAGCAGGCGCAGAAGACTGGGAGGGGTCTTCTAGGCACGAGGTCCCCTAGTAGCAAAGGAGCAAAGGCTGGATAGCACAAGGGACATTCGGAACACAGTGAATTCAGCCTGGCCTGACCCAAGGTTGCTTTTGGTGAAATGAGAGGTAGAGTTAGAAAGGACAATTGATTGCATCTTTACTTGGCAGGATGAATAGTGGTTTTCAACTTAGAATGAACCGTAGTATCACCATTTTGAAAATTCAAAACTCTAGTCCTCAGCCCTAGTGAACCAGAATCTCTGGATATGCTTTGGAGCAATTATTATTATTATTATTATTATTATTATTATTATTATTATTATATCCTTCACAGATGACTCTGATGCTAAATAAAGACTAAAAATCACTGAGAAAGGAAGATAGGCCATGAAGCAGACACAGAGCCTCAGGTTTAGATTTGCGAGACCTGGATTTGAGTTCTGATCTTGACATGTATCATGATCTGAGTTGGGGCAAACCTTAATTTGCTCATTTTTAAGATGTGAGCAATAATAGGACTGCCTACCTGCCTCAAGAAGTCCTTAGATGAGAAAAAGCAAAATGCAGTGTTTGAAAGCCCCAGCATAACACATGCTCAGAGTGAACACATTTCCTTTGTATCCATGGGGAAACATCGGCAGAGGTGAGCTGACTCTCTGAATTGGGAGGTGCTGCAGGTTGCATATGGAAGTGTTCGAGGCCAGCAGGGAGCACAGAGGAGAACAAGCATCAAGGATTGGAGGGTGCTGGAGAGTGGCTAATATCCAAGAATTAGGTGTGAGCTCAGCAAGCCCAGCCATGGTGAGGCCTTGCGGACATCTGTGTGGCCACAGGCCAGAAGGATTCTTTTCTCTGTGGGTGAAAGGCAAGGCAATTTACATGCCTAAAAATAAAACATGCCCCTCCCAGCACTGGATGGGGTGCCCTGGAATCCTGGAGGGCTGGTAAGATGCAATTCTAATTTTAAAAACATCAGTTCTTTTAACACACACTCAGAAGCCACTTCGCTGGGGGAAATGTTCATGCATTGTGTCTTGTAGAAGGTTGTTCATAATTCCAAAGAAATGGCGGTACAGAAGCGCTGAGAGAGGGGCTGTCCAGGCAGGAGGTCCTGGGGTCTCTGACTCTTGACACCTTCCAGCAGGCAGGGGAAAGGACAGGGAACCAAAGCTCTGAAGGTTTAAAAGAGACTGATGTGTGACTCCACACTCCTGATGCTCCCATCTGGGTCTGACCTGGACTCCTGGAGCAATTCCCTCTGATCCCGAAAGAGTTACTACACCTTGGGGTGGGGATGGGGGCCTGCTCCCCATCCTCCCCTTCTGGCAGCTACAGGTCCCATTATCTCATGAACTTTCCCCATATCCCTTGGAGATAAGTATTTCCTTATGGTAATGATTGTGATGCTCATTTTACAGCTGAGCACGTGCAGACAGAGGGATGGTCCTGAAAAAGAGGGAGACATTTTCTTCCTTCTCTCTGGACTCTGTCAAATTCAAATCATAAAACAGAAAGCACAGGGAACAGCTCTGAGCCTTTTTAAACCCGAAGTAGCAGGGAGCAGCGCTGGGAGAAGGAAGACTTAGTGTGGGTTTGGTGTGCTGTAAAATTTATGTGTAATGTTGGGGGCGGGGGAGGAGTGGAGAGTTCCTTTTTATTTTCATATTCCCATAAAGAAAGATCGGGCTTCAGAAATAATCTCATGCAGCCTTCATTTTGCATATGAGGAAATGGAGGTCAAAAGAGGGAACTTGTTAAACAGGCTGTGAGGGTACAAGCTGACCCCACCCCCAACGCCTAGTTACATTTTTGTCCTGCTGTCCTTGCCTAAACTGTTTCACATGCTCTGTGGGCCAATTCTCTGGGCAAAGGCACATCCAAGGGTAATGCTGCCTTTCCTCAAGGTCATCATGAGAGCCTGGCTGGAGGCCGGACTTATCTGAAGAGTTGGAGAAACATATTGAAATTATCAAGACTTGGAACAGGGCCTTCGTTTGCACTGAGCTTTCACCGCCTTATCGAGTTCCTAAACTTGAACTTCTCAAGGTTTAGCCAGTCAGTTTTATTTGCCTCCTCGGAAGCCCTGCAATCTTAGGCTTGTCCCTCAGGCCTGGGGTGAGGATTCTGGGAGGTGTGGGAGCCCTGCTGGCTCTACAGCCCTCCAACAACTGACCAGGAAGAGGGATTCTGGGAAAACTCCCTGGATCAAGTGCCAGCCTGGGCCTGAAGCTGGGCACTGGGAGGGACACACACAGGGATAGCCTGGATCAGAAGACAGGCCACCAACACAGAGCTGTGGGCCTGGGTTACAAGAACGAACGCGGAGGTCAGTGCAGGGTGACCCCTTTCTATGCAAGTGATTTATTACTGGAGACTTCCCATAATCGCAAATTTGAATAATTCAAAGCTAAATGTCTTATAGACATAGGAAGAATGCATTTTGAGACTTATAAATATATAAAAACCATAGCAAATGATAACCTGTTTTGTTTGTTTCTGAGTTTACTTTTAAAACAATAAATACATAATTATAAAGTAAAGCTTTCAGGAAACTTAGAGATATTTGTTAAAGGCTGCTTTTTATTTTCTTGAGGTGAGCTCTCATATTTTCCTAAATCAACTCTAAATCAACTGCTGGAGTTATCCTGGCAGATATTTAGTCATCGTCATAGTATTTTATCACATCTAAATCTGTTTCCTAATGTTTTTATTGTCAGGAATGTTTCTCAGCAAAAATACTGTTCCTGCCTACTTAAGACACCCTTGGATGGCATTGCTGTAAGATATAGAAAAAGTTTAAATTATAAGAACAAAGAGTAGTGAAAGAAATGGCAGCAGGAGTTCTCTTCCCCCACCTTTCTGGGTAAACAACAGACTGGACAGGTGAGGGATTTGTGTGTATTGACCAAATACGGCATCCCTGGGAGACAATAGTGAAAATGGAGTTTACAACTAATTCAGCACTATTGATCACTATGCAATTCTCAATTTTTATAAATTTTGGAGATTTGTGCTATTTCAAATTTTGATCATCTTGTATACTAGTTTTAAATGAATCTAACTTCCTCCCATACTGTACAATATACAACATAATGTGGAAATTCAGAGAAAGTGGTAGGGAAAAAAAATTAGAATTAGGATTAAAACCCACACCTTTTGCTCCTGGATAATTGCATATAAGATGATCTCAGCAACGTATCCTCTAATAATGTGCCATTCTTACAGTCTCAACGCATACAGATCATCCATTGCCTCTTTCCGGGAAAATCACTGCTGAGAACGCATTGGATTAGACATACTCATTTTATTCTGTTCTCATGACAATACCTTGACACCAGTTTCTTTATATGAAGTGTCCATAGAGTACTTGTGTCACTTCCTTGAGCATCTCTCCTCTCTCCAGAGTTGTGGCCCCGTGAGTCCTGGGTGCTTTGGCAGTTCTGAGCTCCAATGTTCACCTGCCCAGCCCCTTACGGCTGCATCTTCGCAACTACCCTCTTCCAGCCTTCTCAGCCTATCTACCTACACCAAGAATCTGCAAGTGCACTATATCGAGCAGTGTTCAAAACACTGTGCGCAGAGCTTAGCCCCACAAGTCTTGGCTGCTTCTGTAGCTCTCTGCTGTTTTTACTTTATCTACTTTTCTTACTGTTCACAGCTAGACCACTGGTTTCCTACAGCTACTGCCTCCTAACCAGAAGTGGAAATCAGCATATGTTTTTGAGATTTGCATATATAGACCTGGGTCATTCTTTTTAACAGATGAATAGAATTTGTATATATAGTACATTGTATTTATTTATAGATGGTGTTTGGGGGTTTTCCAGTTCTTTCAGCTAAAAACAATGCTGCAATGAATATTCTTGCCATGTTGTTTTATACACACCTTTGAGAATCCCTCTAGACTAGGCAGCTGAAAATAGAATTGCAGAGCCAGACACAATGCCCGTTCTTAATTTCATTGCTTATTGCCAATTCGCTTTCCAAAGTCAGTGAACCACTTGACATTTTCCCCAGCAATGTACAAGTGTCCATGTTTACCACTGTCTTTGGTAATGTTTGATTGTGAGGCTATTTAATTTTAGCCCATCAAATGGAAATGGATTTGTACCTTCTTATTTTGATTATTAGTGGAGTCATCAAGTTCATTGCATTTCAGTGTTCCCCTTCTGAACGTGCCTATTCACATCGCTGGCCTACTTTTCAGTTGGGCTTTCAAGCCCATTGAACCACAGGTCTGACTCACACCAGCGGCCTGTGCAGTTACAAATCTCAAAGGTGACATCTTCCAACAGTCTGTGTGGAAAACCCAGGTGTGCTCTCATTCCTTCATCCTAAGCGAGTAAAGAGGTGGGAGCCCTTCAGGTTTTAGCTACTTCCTGCTGCTCTCCTATTCTCTCTGCTCCAAACTCCAGCCAAGCTCACTTCTGACCTACCCCAGGAAGACTTTTCACATAGACCTCATCCTCAAAGAGTACTCCTTCCTCTGAAGACCTTCACCCACTATTTTCAGTGTCTGCTGCCCATGGCACAGTCTAGAGCTGTATTCTGTCTTCTCCTGTTCCCGTAGATCTACTCAAAGCCCCTTGCGGCCGGGGCAGTGGAATGCTACAGGGCATGGAAGTAGACAGGTCGGACATATGGGCTCTACCTTTATTATTAGCCTGTGATCTTGAACAAGCCACACAGCCCCTCTGCACCAATTTCCTCATCTGCAAAGATAGCAATACGAGCCTCATAGAAATATTCTGAAAGATTAATGCCTTTACACTTTCATCAGAATGCCTGACCTAATAGCCATTCAAAAAATCATAGCCATTTCCATAACAATCATGACTTTGTGTTTCCCTCCACCCTTGTGCAGCACACGGTGCCTGAAGGCGATTTCACACACGCTAGGCTGGCTTTGACTCCCATGGAGGCTTCTTATGTGCCGACGTTCACGTTCTGTCCATTACCTCCTGCCCACTTGCTTTTTTTGCTCCTCAGACCCTCGTCCCTGGAGTACGTGGTGGTGAGAAAGTGCGTCCTAAGGTTTGGACAGTGCAGTCGGAGCAGATCGGGAGCATGTTTAAAGGTGGTGCCTACAGGACTCAGGTAACGCTTGGAAACCATTTCATAGTAAAATCGGGATGAGCGGTCCCACTGCAGGCTGCCCTCATATGAAACCCTTTCTAGCTTAGGGGGGACCCCCTCTATGAATAACTTGGCTCTTGGCTGCTGCTCTAACTGTGCCAAGTCTGTGAAGCATATTTTTCTCTTGTCATTTTACCCAGAGCAGAAGCTTCTAAAAGTCCAAAGCCCCCATTTAGAGGATTTGCTTCATAACCATAAGAATGCCATGTATTTGTATAGCACTTTACAATGTGCAAGGTACTTGCATATCCATGATGTCACAGAGTCTCCAAAAGAATAGTCTGGGAGATAGTCAGGGATCATTAACTCCATTCCATAGGTGACTCAAAGAGGAGAATAACCTCAACACGTTCATAAATCTGAGAAGGAACAGGACTGGGCTCGAACTGAGGGCTTTTAAATCTGAACTGATTATTGAGACTGTTAATATTCAGAGTCCTTTCTGTGGGCCATGCCCTACATTGAGTTCTTTTACACATGGTATCCCATTTATACTCATTTTGTAAGCCAGTGAGATAAGCTTAAAGAGACGACGTGACTTGGCCCAGACTCATGGCAAGCTAGTGAGAGCAGAGCTGACACGGAAACCCGGGTCTCTTGTTCTAGTGTCACTGCTTTTACCCACACACTGTGCAGCTTCCAAATCTAAAGGTGATGAGGCAGCAGAAGGCAGGAGGACACCTTACCTCAGGCCCTCTAGGCTAAGGTGACACTTGTGGCCAGTCTTCAGAGAGAAGGGATGTCCCCATTCTGGCCCCTCACCTCCCACTTGGCCACCTCCCTTCCCCTTGGACCCGGCCCCTCTGCAGGGGCTGCTCAAGCCCCCCATGAGCATCTAGCACACTGAGGGTAGAGGCCTGGGCCTGAGGAAAAGGAATGTAATTTTTTGACAATAATAATTATGCCAACATGGACCTAGAAATGTCATTCAGAAGCAGCCTTCATTTTCCCACAAAGAACTCAACATTGAAGGAGAAGGTTAAGAACCTTTGAATGTCTGATTTGTCTAAGTGATCTTCATAACACTCTTTTCAATGAAACAAATTGTGAAACATCATTCAAGTATAAAGGAAACTAAGAAAAGAAAAAGTCTATGAAAAAAGCAAATAGGGTTCTCAAAAGAGCCCATAAAACCCCATCATTGTCTCAGACACCAGGCAGGGCTGTGCTGGACTGGACTGGGCAAGGAGACCTTTTAAACATCCCCCAGGTGTAAACTACTGGTTAGGAAATACTCTGGCCAGGGGATGAGGGGATGAGGGAGGGCAGGGCCATTAACTCATGGACCTAACTATCCCTCTGACTAGCTGCTTCTTAGACTAGAGCACCAACCTCCTAACTGGCTTGTTTGCCACCACTGTCCCCACTTTAACATGACCCTTGTCCAGAGCTAATCATGCTGTTCATCTGCTAAAGAACTCCAAAGACACCCCACTGTCTAAAATCTAGGTCACCTTTCCATCCCTTACATGACCTTCATACCGTTCATGGCTCTTGTCTCAGCCACCTGTCCAGTGCCTTCTTTCGTTTCACTCTCCTGCCACATCAAGGCTAAGTCCCCGGGTCTCAGTCTGTGCTTCTCCCACTGCCCATGATACTCTTCCCTCCCTTGTTCCCTGAGGAGCCCAGGCTTCCCAGGCCAATTAAAATCCACACGTTTTCCCATCCACCCAAAGTTGTTCTTTGAGCTCTTTATCTTAAACTCAATCGTTTTGTAGTATAGCTGCTTTTTATGCATATGTTTATCTACACCTGCTGGACTGGGAGTGCCTCAATGGGAAAAGATTGGTCTTATTCATCAATGCATCGCCAATACCCAGCACAGTGCCTAGAATATAATCGATACTCAAAAACAGTTACTAGAATTTTTCTGATGCCTAATAGGTGCCAGGCTTAGCGATGCACGTGGATCTGGCTTAGAGACAGACATGAGGCTTGACTGGAGGAAGGGATGGGGAAGGCTTCTGGTAGAGGTGGCCTGTGAGCTCATCACATGGGTAGCGATTTTATGAAGGAAGTGAAAAACAATTCCTTGCCCACGCAGGGTAAAAACAAGGGGAAGTATTCCCAGTGGAAGTAAGTGGCCTGATATGAGGAAAAGAAGGCACAGCCAAAAAAGCTTCACAAAATAGTGAGTGGCTGAAATTCACTGAGAGGTAAGCATCATTTGCTGAAAGCCTTCATGTTGAAGTGAAGGTCCTTGGCTTGCAACGTAGGTCACCTGTTTCCATGAACTTCCAGATAGCAGAATAAAAGGCGAGAGCCCACATATGGGATGACTTAAATTGGTGCGAGGGAATGTGTGTGTCACTCTGATCGGGGGTGGTACGTGCTGCATTATTAGGCCCAGGCTGAGGCCACAGTACAGTCATAAATCAAGACGCGGGTGTTTAAAAAACAGTGGAAGTGTTAAGGAAACACGAAGTGGCTGACCTGTGGGGCTGGGCTGTTACTCCCTACAAGAATTTCTATGACTAATGATGTGGATAAATAAGTACTTAACTTTCTCATAACCACACGTGTAATTTATTTAATTCAGGGGATATTATGCAGCTCTGGGAGCTCTTCAAGATGATGGTGATCAGTTGGAAAAGGTTTGCCACGTTTCAATAGAGACTGGAGCCTTTTTTTCCCCACCAAGATTTTGTCCCTGGTAACTGGGATTCATGGACAGAAAGATGGGGTTTAGGAGCAGCCCTTCACCCATCCAGTTTAATTTATAGCTTTTGAAGTTCTACCTGTAGATAATCATTCAGTTGGGTCTTTGAGAACCTTTTAAAACAAAATAACTGAGATGGAGGTGAGTCACACCTAAGGATTTATTGGATCACCTTGACAGAGCTTCATGGCCAGGAATCTGCTGAGGGAAGCTCTTAAACATTTGTGAGGTGGAAGGATAACAAGTAACCCAGGCCTGAGACTGACACCTTCCATGTCATTAATCAGCTGCCACGTCCCGTCTCTGATCCTCAATTTCCTCATCTCTAGAAAGGGGCCAATAATACCTACCTCATAACGTATTGTGAAGGTCAAGTCCAGGCTCCTCTTTCTATACACGACATGTTTCTTAGATGTGTGAAAGTCAGACATAGTTCAGTTGAAGAAGCAACGTAGCTATTTTATAAGAAAAGGTTGGTTCCGATCATTGTAAACTACAAAATCCCTCATTGGGCCTTACTGTTTTGATACAATCTTAGAAATAATATTTCTAGCATTTTATGTTCTTTTATATATATGTATGTATACAAAGAACATATCATTGAGGTTATAGATTGTTGGCTTCCAGTACAATTATTTCATTCATTCGTTTGACAAAAACAAAGGAGTGAGTATCCATTACTTGGCACATTAGTCTCGAATGTGTTAGGGTTATGAGACATATGTTGATTTATCACACCCTCTTTTAAAAAAATTTTAAAATGTTGATAAAATGCAATCAACAAGCAAATAAGTTCCCAAATACTGCAGAACATGACACTGCTGAACAGAACAACTGGCGGACAGCAATACCTTAGGGATAGGTCAAATGTCTTCTACCATGAGTGATGGTAGAAATCTGAATTCAACGTGGGGATATGTTTAAGGGTGTCAATGTAAAATATAGATAGCAAAACCATTTAAAAACACCAATATTAAATCAAAAAAATGTTTTGGTTAGGGCAGCATCCAAATCTAAGGGAATGTTAGGAATAGACATCAGAGGGTGAAGCCAGGGTGAGATGAGAGAAGAAAACAAAGCATGAATGGACATAAAGTCGTTCCCAGATACCATGAGATACCTGAGAGCCAGCTCAGATGCAGGATAAAGCTGGCCTGCTTTCTCCCTGAGAGCTCATTTTTCTCTATGTCATTCACGGTAGATTCTGTAACTCAGTATTCTCAATCTGGGCTACATATCCAAAACACTTGGTTCTTTTTTTTTTTTTTAAGATTTGTATTGGGGAATTGGGGGATGGGAACAGTGCTGGGGAATTGGGGGAAGGGGAACAGACAAGCTGCTGTCCTTTTGTTCTTCAGTCTAGTTGTGGAGGACGTCACTTCACTGGCCCAAGTTGGCACCATCATTGCGCTCTTCCCAGGCGAGGCAGATCAGTCGCCGGCTTCTGGACGGCCACTCACAGCAGCTGCTGGACGCTCACCTCAGCTGCTGGCTACACACAGTAGCCCATGGCAACCCACTGCCACAGGGGCTGCAGCCTACGCAGTTGCCGGCGACTCACGGCAGCCCAGCTCCAGGTTGAGCTGTTGTTCAGCATATTAGCTGTAGAGGGCAGTATCACTGGCCCTCATATGTGGGATCCGAACTGGGGCCCTCTGGCATCCCAAGCCAGCTCTTAACCATTGTGCCACTCGGCCGGCCCAACACTTGGTTCTTTAAAAAAATGCAAATGTCTGGACCCCACCCAAGACCAATTAAATCTGAATTTATGGGCTAGCAACTGGGGATGCTTAGGTGCAAATTCATGCCTGGATGCCAACGTTTTTTTTCTGTTGTATTATTTTAGAGAGTACACATTTTGAAAATCATTTCAGTGGTCACTCTGTATTACATATTCATCCTAGGCTTAATAAATTTGAATACCAATCAATTTTTATCTTTCTCCTGGATAATGGAAGACCTTTAGAACACTTTAACTAAACTTAATCCTTCCTGATTTCTCTAAATATTATCAGGTATATTAAGTCTATTATTTTTCATTCTTATTTTATATACTGTATTGCTTTTATATAATGTTTATATAATTCTTACTTTCTAATATAATTATCAGTTTTATACTTACTCAATAGTATTTTCCTTGGCCTTCGTTCTTTCCTGTATCTCAGGACTTCCATCTGGAATTACTTTCCTTATGCCTGAAGTGAATTGTTTAGAATGTCCCCTGATGAGGTCATTTGTGGCCAGTTCTCTCTATTTTGGTATGTTTCTTAACATTTTTATTTCACGTCCATTCTGGATATATATTTTGATTGAGTATAGAATTCTAGGTTGGCAGTTATTTTCATTCAGTCCATTATTACCTTTCACATATGTATGTATTTTATATTGGCTTCTTTCACTTAACAATATGCTTTTAAGTTTCCTCCATGCCTTCTTATGGCTTGATAGCTCATTTCTTTTTAGTGCAGAATAATATTTCATTGTGTGGATGTACCACAGTTTACTTATTCACGTACCTACTAAAGTACATCTTGGTTGCTTCAAAGTTTTGACACAAATGAAGCTGCTATAAATATCTGTGTGAGTTTTGTGTATACCTTTTTAATGTTCCTGTTTAGAATTAGGCTTGTTGAAGCTATGGATTATTATTTTTTATAAGTTCTGGAAAATTCTCTCTCATCATCGCTTCAAATATTGCCTCTGTCCCTATTCTCTTTGTCTTCTCTCTATAACGCCTATAAAAGTGTATTACATATGTTCATTCTATCTGCCACATTTCTTAATCCCTCTCCTAAAATTTCTGTCCTTATGTCTCTCTTTGTAGCATTCTGGATCATTTTTTCTGATCTGTCTCTTTAGTTCATTACTTCTGTTTTGTTGTGTTAAAACTAGAGCCAAATCCATCTTCAGAGGTTTTCATTTGTTATAGTACTTTTAATTTCCAGAAGTTAAGTTATAAATTGTTCTAAAAGTTGTCACTTTTATAGATTTCTTTTCTCCCTTCTGAAATTTTCAAGCTCGTTTTTATTTCTTTAAACATAGTAAGCATGGTTATTCTATCATCTGTATCTGATGATTCTCATATCTGAAATTTTGGGGTCAGTGCTGTTGTTTCTCACTTATGGTGCCTGTACTTGTACCTTGTTGCTTGTCATTGCCCTTGATACAATAATTTACAGAGGTTGTCCAAGCCCTGTTATAAATGTACCTTCCTCTGAAGAGGACTTTTTTTTTCTTTCCTGCTGGTCATGTAAAGTATTACCAGTCCCTAACAATTTTAAACCAAATTGATGGTTTGAGCTTTCTTGTTTTGCTCTAGTGAAATCAGTTTGCACCTCTGCATGGGGGTAGGACTTGGTTTATAGCCTTCCAGGGACAGGTTTCCTCCTTTCGTATGTACCATTTTTCTGCTCAGTGTTGGGACAACTCCCCTGTTCTATGGGACAATTGGGAGTATAATACATGGTTAATCCTTGCTCACCCTGACCTTGAGTGTGTAGTAGTTTAGAATGATAGCTTAATGTTAATTTGTGGGGGTGTCTATCAGGCCCCAGATTTTGTGTAGGCTTTCACTTCTATCCTCCTTCAGGCTCTAGGCAGTCGAAACAAAACTTCTTATTCATTATTGTCTTTTCCAGGGTGACAAATGTCCTCTGGGAAAAAGTAATTTTGCCTTTTCTCTTGATTTTTAAGATTTTTACCTTCATGTTTACCTGGTTTTGATTTAGGAATTTCTCACAATCTTGTCAGCACTTTGATGTTTTTTTCTTTTTTAAAAAATATATGCTTTTTTTCTATTTTCATCAGAATTGTTAGTTGTTTTAAATAAGGATTGGTCTAAATAACTTAGCCTGTAATTTCCAGTAGCCAAAGTCCCTGAAACAATTATTTGAAAAAGGAACACACACAAAATATATTTCTCTGTCACCACTCACATAATTCAGAAAATTTTACATGAAATAATATTGATATGTGAAATGTGTTATCAGTTGCATAGTAGGAAAACTATTCTAAGTATCTGAAATCTTTAATTACTGGTTTTTCACAAATAGGATATGTATAATGTCTGAATTCTCAGCAGATGTTGAAGAGTTAAAACTGTTATATTTCAAAAGAAATGGATGAATTTGCTATAAAGTACAGTAATATGGTTCTTTTGATCATTGTATTGTGATTTAACTCAGACATCTTTATTGTTTGTGCAATTTCTCCAAACCCATGAAAGGTGATATATATCCCTCTGGCATGAGACCAACACTCTGGATTGGGCACTGGATTATTTAACCACCCTGCTAAATAATTTACACTTGGGGATATTATGCAGAAACCTTTTCAATTAACTTGTGTTGACAGAGAAACTAAATATAGTAGTCACTGAAAAAAAAAATTAACACATTCTTGACCTATTGGGCAGGAAAAAAAACTTATTTAAAATATTATCTACTCTACAAAATAAAGGGAAAGATTGGAAATGATAATGATTCTAAATAGGAGAATTAAATATCTACTATTTTCATTTTAGAGAAATGTTGATGTTTTTATATGTATATTATTTTAATTCACTAAAAGAAGTGTACACTGACTGGTACAGTGGGAGAAGCTAAAGGCTCTGAAATCTGAAAAATTTGGGTTCAAACCCTGTGCTCACTGGCTTCAGGCAAGTCATTTAGCTTTCTAAAGGTAAGGTCCCTTATCTGTAAATTAGGAGTAAGGAAACCTTGCAGTGTTTTTACGAGAATTAGAGATAATGTAAGTTAAAGATCTCACATACATAGTAGTTGTTTTTCTAGAAAGAACTTTCTCTGGTGAGTTTAATCAAATCTCCTAATTTGTCCTATTACTGATGATCTCTGATGTCAGGGATTTGCAATAATGGGACATTATTTTAAAAAGAAAATAAGCCCTTTTATTTTTAATTTAATTTTTTCATACATATATACTTATTTGAAAATTAATTATGGGACAAAGTGAATGCACCCTGATAATGGTAGACTAAATAGTTAGCTTTAGCAAATCATATCTAGTCAACTGAAGGCAGGCTGTTGACTAAAATGCACGTGTCTGCAGAAAAAAACTGGAAGGCAATAGTCAATCATTTGAACGGTGTAGAAGCTTCCAGGGGAATCAGTGGCCTGGTTAATTTTTTTTCATCTGTGAGCTTTCTTTTTAGCTTCCCTGATACTAATACCAAATCACCACTGACTATCGTTGTAAAAAATGATGACACACTTCCTCAAAGCTTTTTCACACTTATCACTGTGTGTTTTGAATAAGAGTGTGCAGGGAAAGCCAGCATTACTTTCTCAAGCCAGAGGGCCCTCTCCTCTCTGTGAAGGTTGAACGCATTGTCTAGAGTGCAGGAAAGGATCAGTTCTATCAGCTCCATCTACCCTGACCATCAGTAGGGTGACAGACATCTTAGCTTTTAGATCCTTAATTAACTAATTAAATAACCTAATATCTTGTGAGTAATTGATTTATTACAGCCCCATCCCAGATGTTAGCAGGAGGCAGAAAATGTTTAAATATGTCCCTGCCTTCCATACACGATAGTCTGGGTCTTGAAAACGCACATCCAGCCTTTGAATCTCCTCTTACCTTTCCTTCTCTGACTTGAATTTGCAGCAGATAAGTAGAAATAAATATTCCTAGGGTAGCCAGGGTTTCAGTTATGAATGTCCTTCTAATCCATTCACACCACCCAAAACACTTACACGGATTATCCGTCACAAGTCACTCTACAATCTTAATCAAATTGCCTGCTGAAGGGAGCCCAGTGTTTATCACGTTTTTCCTAAATGGAAAACAGCTGTGATAAATTAATGTTCACCAGAAATCTCGTATTAGGAAAAGATTCTCAGATAGTCTCTCAACTGTCGTTCTTTCCAACTATGAATAATATAGTCCTGTATCCTAACCTGCGACTAATTCGCTTGGCCCCTTCCACTTCTCTGTGGGATACGCTGAAGACGAAATGTTGCCTGGGCCAGACTGGCAATATTTAGATGATAAACACATACTTAAAAAAGTAAACAAGGAAATGTCTCTTAAGAAGGTGGCATTGTCAGCAACAGCAGAATGCATCCTTACAAGGTTCACTTTAAGAGCCAGGTGTGTCCAGAGCATAAATCCGCTGCTTATGGATTCACCTAATACCGGTATCACTGTGAATGTCACCAAACACTCCACCTCAGAATTAACTTCCTCTCTTCTGATCCTATAACGAATCAAGGTTCAGATTGTCCTTTGGCTCCTCCGATGGATTTCCTCACTGGGATATAGTGTGCTACCCAAAGGAAAGAGGTTTCCAGTTCCTTTGGTGGTTTCTCCTTGTGAACTAACATTTTGATACATTCAAATATCTGAGGCTGCTAAGCTAAGGCACAAGCATTGTACTA